TAAATATAGATGGAGATATAATGTAGTATAAAACATGAAAGCCAAGTGAAATTCTGGTAAATGTATTTGCACAGTCCACTTAAGACAGTATAAGTAAACTGAATCTGTGTATTATGTACATTTTAGCAGATTCTAGACTCCATGCTGTTTCTAAAAATGTGTGCTCTATTTTGTACTAGTGCTTCCATTATGGCAAGAAGGGATGTAGATGATCTGTTGGGTGTTTGATTCCACTGTTCTGTTTGAAAAGAAATCTTAACATTTTTTTTTTTTTCAGGTACCTGAACTCTGTCTGGGCATAAATGAACTCTCTAGTCATCCGCACAACCTTCTGTGGTTGGTACAGCTGGTCCCTAATTGGACATCACGTGGAAGGTATTGAAAAGTGAGAATTAAACATTAAGAAATTTTATAATTTTATATTAATGAAATGCCTTGGGTTCTTTACTTTCATTCATCATTCTTTGAATATTAGACCAGAGGTGTTTATTTCATATTCAGTTGTGAGAAAAGGCATTAATAGCCTGATTCTGCATATTCTGATTCTTACTCAGATCATTATGTAATTTTTTTTTTGAAACAGAGTCTCACTCTGTCACCCAAGCTGAATATTTTTTATTTTTAATTTTAGTTTATCTGATGCCTTAATACAGATGACATATTCCACAAAAGTTAATGAATTAGCTTTTTTTGCTTTAGTAAAAAGAAATTTCAGCAATTAAAAAATAGGTTTTCTGTCAGTAAACCATCAGGGTCAAAGGCTGTTAAATGATGCTTCAGATAACTCAAGTTTTATGTACAAATATTTTCCATGAAAATTTTGCTATTCTATAACAGCTTATATGTTCTTATACAGACATCTCTTGAAACATTGCTTATATTTCCGATTAGAACTAAAACTCCTCTTGGCTCATTCATTTGCTTTTCAAACAGTATTAATTAAAATACATTCTAAATACTTTTAACTTCTATTCTAGGCAGCTGAGACAGTGTCTCAGTCTAGTGATTATTTCAAAGCTTTTGGATGAGAAACACGAAGATGTTCCTAATGCCAATAATCTGCAGGTATCAATAAATATATTTTTATTTTTAATAAATGGGAGAGGTAATGAGGGGTATAGGGAAAATTGATGTACCCTAAGTCAAGGGTCCTAGGGGTCAGAGCTCAGCTCTCAAGCATGATACTATTCATGTAATCTTTAGCAAACTTAGTAAGATCCAGTTTTTTCATCTGTGAAATGGATATAGTTTTGCACCCTCCACCACATAGGATGGTTGTGGACAATCAGATGTGAATCAATATATAAACTACTGGGAAAATCATAATGTGCAATTATAGGAATATGATGCCGTTTATTGAATTAGTTCAGCTTTTCCAAGTTAGCAATTTTATCACAAGTTTAGCAATTGCAAAACTGTTGTGCATTGATTGAATCTTCAACCTGTTTTGAGTCTTTTTAGATGATAGAGCTTAAATATAGTTGCCCTCCAGTACTTGTTAAGTAAAAATATATCATGTATATATGAGAGTGTGGATAAACATGTCTGGCTGGTGCTGGGTGTTGGTGGCATGCACCTATAGTCCCAGCTACTTGGGAGGCCGAGACCAGAGAATCTTTTGAATCCAGGAGTTCAAGTTCAACCTAAGCAACATGGAGAGACCCTGTCTTTAATATATATATATATATATATATATTTTTTTTTTTAATTTGAAAAAGTGTGCTATGGAAGTCCCACTCTGAGAAGTTCTGAAGCCTTTTTACAAATATTGATATCACTAATAGGGCTGCCTTGGTTGGATTTGAAAACTCACCATAGAACATGATCTTGATTTCCCTTTGTTCTTGTTTGAATTACAGTTTGGTACAAGGTATGCTGCCAGGACCTAGGAATTAAAAAACAAAACAGTCCCAGCTACTAGGGAGGCTGAGGCAGGAAAATCACTTGAACCCGGGAGATGGAGGTTGCAGTGAGTCAAGATTGTGCCACTGCACTCCAGTTTGGGTAACAACAGAGTGAGATTTTGTCTCAAAAAAAAAAAAAATACCATGGGATGGAGAGATTGATGGGCACAGCTGGTTTCTGCTTTAGTAGAGTTGAGGTAGATTTGATTCCAGATATATGGGGATCATGCTGGAGCTACCAGAGTAGTTAGCAAATAGCTCTCATTCCTTTCAGTGATACTTACTGCCTTCAAAAGAGATACAGGGATAAAATTTCTACCATTTCTCCTAACTCTTGTTTACTTTTTCCTTTTTGCCCATGTAAAATGGAATTTTTTTTTTTTTTTGAGAAGGAGTGCAATGGCACTATCTCAGCTCACTGCAACCTCCACCTCCCAAGTGATTCTCCTGCCTCAGCTTACCAAGTAGCTGGGATTACAGGTTCGTGCCACCACACCCAGCTCATTTTTTGTACTTCTGGTAGAGACAGGGTTTCACCATGTTGGCCAGGGTGGTCTCAGTCCCTTTACCTTGTGATCTGCCCACCTAAGCCTCCCAAAGTGCTGGGATTACAGGAGCAAGCCACCATGCCCGGCTGTAAAATAGAATAATTAACTGAATAATTACATGAATAATTAACCCTCAGACTCACTAATTGATATGCAAATTATAATCTAGTTGTGCTTTTTACCCCAAATTCTTGTAGTTCTTTTCAGAATTCAATGACTTCTAAACACAGGTAGAGTCAACTTTGTTGACTTTCAAATAATTTAACAGAGAAAGCATTCCCTGTGGCCTCTATATAATATCATTTGGTCTCCTAAGAATTTATCCCAAGTTACAAGTACTAAATCTTTAACTTGATATCCCGCTTCTATTTTGAGAGACAGAGTTTTGCTCTGTTGCCCGGGCTGGAGTGCAGTGGTACCATCTCGGCTCACTGCAGCCTCCGCCCCGTGGGTTCAAGCAATTCTTGTGCCTCAGCCTCCTGAGTAGCTAGGACTACAGGCATGTGCCACCATGCCCAACTTATTTTTGTATTTTTAGTGTAGACAGGGTTTCTCCATGTTGGTCAGTCTGGTCTCGAACTCCTGACCTCAGGTGATCCACCTGCCTTGGCCTCTTAAAGTGCTGATTACAGGCATGAACCACCTCGCCTGGCCACTTAAAATCCCTTTTTAAGCAATTGAGGAGTTTTACGTAAAGGGGAAATGGATATTGTTCAAGAGTAAAGAAAGCTATAATAAAAGGACAAAATGAAAGAGGACACACTGGAACAAGCAGCCTAAGAAAAAGCAACTGTATTATTTAGCTTTGTTCAATGTCATCTCTTTCTTTTGATAGGTATCAGTCCTACATCGCTATCTTGTACAAATGAAGCCTTCTGATTTGTTAAAGAAAATGGTCTTAAAGAAAAAGGCTGAACAACCAAATGGCACTATTGATGACAGTCTTCATTTAGAACTTGAAAAGCAGGTATCCAGCACTCGAAGATCTCAAAGAGTACATAGAAGCATAACTGATGGCCGGGTGTGGTAGCTCACGCCTGTAATCCAAGCACTTTGGAGGCCAAGGCAGGCGGATCACCTGAGGTCAGGAGTTCAAGACCAGCCTGACCAACATGGTGAAACCCCGTCTTTTAAAAAAAAAAAAAGGCATAACTGATAATACCAGCTTCCTAAACATAGACTGTTAATGTAGGCATTTGTGGATTTGGACACTAGATACATTCCAGCAAACATAATTTTAAAGCAAATGATATTTTTAATTTATTGCTGTCATGAAATCTTCCATAAATCTGAGAGTTGAAAATTTAGGTAAAAGGGTGGTTGTTGGTAATTTGCTCCCAAGAGCATTTTTTGTAGCCCTTTATTAGGGCAGTCGTGAGGTCATGAATCATTTACCATGATTCATGGTAAAAGAATGCACTTGAGTTAGAATTCAGAAACCCTAGTTTAAATGCTTGGCTTTTTCTTACTGACCAGCTGGGTTAACTTTAACAGATCGTTTTTCCTTCCTGGGCAACTTTCCTAATGTATAAATTGGAATGACATCTATGCTAGCTAATTCATAGGTATTAATTGTATTCATTTCTCTAACAGGCATATTACCTGACCTACATTCTTCTTCATTTAGTCGGTGAAGTTAGTTGTTCTCATTCTTTTTCTTCTGGACAACGGGTAGGTAGTGTTTAGTGTCGTTGCTGCTGTTTTTAAATAGTTGTCACTGTTGATGGAATGAGTAAACATGCTTTATATAGGAGAAAACTTCATAAAAGCTTATTGATTTTGCTATAATAATTTACATGTATACCAGAAAGAGTGGCATGATAGTGGTCTTGTAACCATATCATATTGAAAAGAATTGTCAGCCTGTCACCATGGCTCACACCTGTAATCCCTGAACTTTGGGAGGCCAAGGTGGGTGGATCACCTGAGGTCGGGCGTTTGAGACCAGCCTGGCCAACATGGTGAAACCCCATCTCTACTAAAAATACAAAAAAATTAGTCGTGTGTGGTGGCGGGCACCTGTAATCCCAGCTGTTTGGGAGGTTGAGGCAGGAGAATCACTTGAACCCAGGAGGTACAGGTTACAGTGAGTGGAGATTGGGCCACTGTACTCCAGCCTGGGCAGCAACAGTGAAACTCCATCTCAAAAAAAAAAAAGAATTGTCAGCAAATGTTAGTTCTGTTTGTTGGAGTGGAACTTAACCATTATACCTTGGCAATAGCATAATATATTCGTAAGATACCAACCTTACCAAATATCAAATGGGCCAGTGTTGTGCCGGACCCATATTGACTCCAGTAGAAATGGCAGTCAAGTGGCAGCATGCTACACAGGAGAACTGCTACCATTTATATACACCATGCAGTTTATATAGCATTTTCACTTAGCACCCTCTACCTAGCAACCTCCTCCACTTAACCCAGAAGAAAGGGCCTCCATCCCCTGTGGAGATCCCCTGTGTGGCCTTCCAAGGGATGGGCTGGGGATTCAGATGTCCTTCATAGCTGAGGAGTGAAACTCTAGATCAGCTACTGCCCTCAGATTCCTTAGCTCAGGACTCCAGTTACACATTCTTCTTAGACTATAGGTTCATTTTCAGAATATGCTTAAGTTACTGCTGTCAGCTGCATCTGTCATACAGCCAGCTTTTAGCTCCTTTCTTCCCATCTCTTCCCCCTTCCCCTTTTTTTCCTTTAGAAATAACATTTGCCTTCAAAATTAAACTGATGGTAAGGCAGGCTACTTTAGAAATGCATTTCTAAATTATCTTCCCATATTAAGATTTTCATTTTGAATTATTCTATTCTTCCCATATCCCTGGGGAAAGTTCTTGCTTAATTCCTCTTGTTTCATATCTTAACTACTCTAATTCCTGTTTTAAAATTTAGGCCTGATGTGGTGGCTCATGCCTATAATCCCAGCACTTTGGGAGGCCAAGGCAGGCAGATCACTTGAGGTCAGAAGTTCAAGACCAGCCTGGCCAACATGATGAAACCCTGTCTCTACTAAAAATGCAAAAAAAATTAGCTGGGCATGGTGGCAGATGCCTGTAATCCCAGCTACTCCAGAGGATAAGGCAGGAGAACGGCCTGAACCCAGGAGGTGGAGGTTGCAGTGAGTTGATACACCACCACACTCCAGCCTGGGCAACAGAGGAAGACTCCACCTCAAAAAAAAAACCAAAAAACATAGTATCTACTAGACGTGACAGAAAAAACACAAGACTAGTTCTTCCGTTTTTATAAATGCTACTGTGCATAAAACTCTGTTTGTGGCCAGGTGCAGTGGCTCACGTCTATAATCCCAGCACTTTGGGAGGCCAAGGTGGGTGGATCACCTGAGGTCAGGAGTTTGAGACCAGCCTGACCAACATGATGAAACCCTGTCGTTACTAGAAATACAAAAATTGGCCAAGCATGGTGGTGGGTGCCTGTAATCCCAGCTACTCGGGAGGCTGAAGCAAAATTGCTTGAACTCAGGAGGCAGAGGTTGCAATGCTCCAAGATCGCACCATTGCTCCAGCCTGGGCCACAGGAGCGAAACTCTGTCTCAAAAAAAAAAAAGTGTTTGCTCTCGTGATTGGAAGCTAATGTAGTGATCTGTCTGTAATGTTCTTATATGGTTTTTATATTTTATAAATTACCTTTTTTTTTTTTTTT